TCCACGCTGGAAAGATCATCCACGAAACTGTCGAAGCCGATCTGTGCCACGACTCCACGCACCACCTTGTCGTAGTCCAGCTTGGCACCGGTGGTGATCCTCTCTTCTTCAGTAACCGGGCCCAAAACAAGTTCAAGCTTTCTAAGATGGAGCAAACATATAAGGTCAAAAGTTTAAAGTTCTCTCATTGGCTGTCCAAGGATCTCTCCTGCGACCATGACCATGTTGTCCTTGGTCGCCGTCTCGCAGGCCACCTTGCTCTTGGGATCTGCCTTCAGGCAAGCATCGAGCACTGCATCCGACACCTGGTCGCAGATCTTGTCCGGGTGACCCTCGTTCACAGACTCCGAGGAGAAGAGAAAGGTGCGAGATGTGCGTGCCTTCTTCTGCGCTGGCTCCGCCATGGCTGTCTGGAAGTAAGAGTGGACTGGGGCACACAAAACTGCAAAAAGCTTCAGCCAAAATGGCCACGACAGTGATTAGTGTGCGTCTTGTTCTGTGCCGCTGCGGCCCTAGTATACTCAATCCAGCCGGATGCCAAGAAGAGTGATGGGCACGAAATGAGCAATGGGGTGGCATACTATAGTCTATATGAGTATATGTATGTATATATATATATACATATATATATATATAGGCTCGGAATACCTATTCATGCATAATACTTGCTCTCCGGGCTTAGGGTCTCCACAAGGTCGTTACATGATTGCCAACACCTCCTGTCTCTGAAAGGCTCCACCGCATGTAGGTTCATGTAAAATTAAAGGGCACCATTAAGGGTACTATAATCGGGTTCCCTTAAATTCAAGGGTATTATAAAGATACAATAGTCAATAATCCTTTGGAGGTACCTCGCATCCATGAGTTCAGAGGATGTGCGCTTGCAGGCCAAACGGGAACAACTGTGCAAAATTGACCGATCCAAAAGGGCGAGCCAAAAAGAGTCCTCAATTTCCCGAAACCAGTCCTCTCCCTCTTCGCGCATGGCGCGCCATCGCCACGGTCATTGCTCTCCGGCCGTGAGGATCCCTCTTGCCCTACAGACTACGCTCCGGGACAGCAAACGCCTCTTTGAAGCTACTACTTGTGAAAGGCACACCCGTCCCCGAGATCGAGTCTCCCATCACCTCCCATCACCGTAGCAGCATGGTTCTGTCCTTGACAAAAAGCTTGCCAGAAGAAGTCACACGAGTCTCGCTTCGGCTAAGGGCTGACCCCAAACTACCCAACCTGGCGAAAAGTTTTAAAGCCGGAAGCCCTAGAAAGCCAGAGAGGACTCCGCCCGGTGGTCACAAGTCGGATGGAGGCGCGTTCGCGAAGCTTCGCACTAATGTGGTGAGCTTGCCCCGTGTTTTCCGGGTTTGGGCTTGTTCGAACAATGTCAAAGTTTGACATTCTGGATCTGAGATGGACCCATCTTCGGGCTCATACTTGGAGTTCATGGCCAAACGGTAGATAGAACTTCTGTTAGCCCTCCGTGTTTGATTCATCAAACAGAGCCGCAGATACTAGAAATAAGATCGATGCGTTTGCTGTAAATGGGAGGGAGGCAGTTTTGGGGCAGACGCAGCATAATGTCCTTGCAGTGTATGTTCATGAAACGAACCCTCAAAAAAAACTGCAAGGACGACATGCTCAGCTTCGGGTTTTCGTGGTTCCAGGGCTCAGACAGCTTAAGTATATACGACCACCCTACTAATAAACCCGCTTCTTTAAGGGCCTTAGTGCCTTTGTATCCGGCTCCTATGAACATCTTAATAAGGCTTCGGGCGCTGACTAAGAGTGTGCGAAGCGGTAACCTCAGAGCCCTCCAGCCAGAAAGCGCAAGTTTTAATTCCAAAGCCGAAACGCTGTAGCCCTAGTGCGCTCAACACGTCCTGGAAAACGGTACAGAACACACTTGAGATCCTTTCTTTCGCCGAGTTCATGCAGCTTCTCTAAAATCTGGTGGCGCGGCGACCTGTAGCCAGAATGGCGTGTCTCTGTTTGGGGTTCGAAGGCTTATAGCTTAGAGTATCGGCAATTTGGGGCTAGAATTCTAGAGCTTAGAACACAGGTCTTTTGCGGCTTCTGGGGTGCAGGCGTCCTGTGTGACTTTGGTTGGTGGTTTTAGGATGGTGGGCTTTAGTTCGGGTTCCTGACAATCGTTTGACCGACTTCCGGCCTCCTAGGAGCAGGACCCTCATGGCATAGGGGCATAGCGGGGAACTTCCAGCGACGTCAGAGGACGACACCGTGAGGGTCCTGAGAGCTTCTGGCCGGAAAATCTGGAGAAGCCACGAAGGCCAAAACAAAATCCCCCCAATGAAAGTGCACCTGAAAGAGAGGAGTCCTACCAGATCCCAGGGGCTGCAATCCAAAATCCCGAATTGAACCCTAAATCCTAAACCTTCCAAAGCCCTATAGAGGCCCTGAATCAGTGAACGTACCGAACCTGAAGGACAGGAGTTGGATCGCTTCGAGCAGGTCGGCAGGGAGCGGAGCGCGCACAATCTGCTGCCTGCCTAACAGGTCCCGGAAGGCCACGGAATACCTGGTGCGATGAGGCTTAGGGGGTTTAGGGCTTTAGCACTCGAACATCCGACTCTCTATGCATTGCGGTTTAGGGTTGGGGTTCTCAAGGCTTTGGGCTGCACGGTTTAGGGTGTTTCGGGTAGATGGGTTTGGCGGTCGGCTTGCACTAGCCCAGATCTTTTATATGTTGTTACATTTGGGCAGTGTAGTGATTTTCACTGATGAGTCGCAGTTGATCTAAGGTTCTTGTTCTACAAAGGCTTTTACTTACGTTGTTCATAACACATTGCAAACTCTGGGGAATTTGGGAATCAGGGCAAGGTAAACTACTGGGCGAGCTTGCTGGGGCGACAACATCCGTCCACTGCTGATTGAGTTCTTGTCAGACAACCTCAGATAACTCAGCCTGCACGAACCCTAAACCCTAGCCCAAAGAAGCCTGGAATGATCAACCTTCTCGAAACACTGTCCACCCACATCCCCTTCGAAATTAAAACACACCTGTCAGAACTACTTCCCGATGTCAGGTTGGTGGCCGATGCAGGAAGTTCCGAGTACAAAGGGACCCGTCTTCGCGAAAGGTCTCGCGAGAGGTGTAGCGACCGTCACCTGGCCACTGTTGGTCTAATCAATCATGTCAAGAAACAGCCAGCAACTTACACACGCCACAACGGGAATGCAACACGTGAGGCGGTAAGCGTTCATCCCGGTGCGTCTTGCTGAAGGATGCGGGTGCGAAACCATGAACGAGAAGTGGCTTGCCATCAGGAAGACAAAGTTGAAGGCCCACAGCGAAGTGTGCTTGATGGCGTTGGCATCCAACGCTCGTCGGAGGCGGAAACGATTACAAGAAAAACGGTGAAGTGAATGTGAGCAGGATAGGGGAGGGCCACTACAACGACTCCTGCTGCTGTTGCTGCTGCTGCTGCTGCTGCTGCTGCTGCTGCTGCTGCTGCTTCTCCTACAGCATCCTACTGCTACTGCTTGCTACTGCTACTAAGTACCGCCGGTGCTGCTGCTACTGCCGATGCGACTAGTACTACTACCACTTCTTCTTCTGCTACTACTACTACTATTACTACGGTGACTGTTTTAAATATGCGGACAGGTAAATAAATAAAACAAATATTTTATACTACCTCTGTGAGGGGTCGGGCGGGGCCGCCCGTTTTTTACATCTACGGAAACGTTAGCGCTTGTTACCGTCGACGCAGTCACATCCTAACCAGGGATTTGCAAC